CCGGCAGTAAATCAGGGAGTATTTGACTCCGGACTCCCGTTAATTTCGCACCCTGCTCTGTATGAAGGCGTGAGATTATGTTACGTGTTAGGTAGTGTACTTGGCCAGGTCTTATCCATTTTAGTAGTTCTTCCTCTCCAGGTTCTCAGTGTTATCTCTAGTTTGTTAATATATTGGCATCAGTTTATCGCCATGTTGGTCTGTAATGTGTGAGTATTTCTGCATCAGAGTATCGTTGTTGTCTGTAATGTGTGAGTATTTCTGCATCAGGGTATCGTTGTTGTCTGTAATGTGTGAGTATTTCTGCATCAGGGTATCATTGTTGTCTGTAATGTGTGATTATTTCTGCTTCAGGGTATCATTGTTGTCTGTAATGTGTGAGTATTTCTGCATCAGGGTATCATTGTTGTCTGTAATGTGTGAGTATTTTTGCTTCAGGGTAAGGAAGAAGAGGCCGGAGGACAGGGAGACTGAGTATGAGTACAGCGGCAGCGAGGGAGAGGACGATGTGGAGGGAACCGTGGGAGCCACGGGTGAACCTAGGTGAGTTACAGGGTATGGTCATAAAGTATAGTGTTTGGCTCAGGGACAATGTTTCACACAAGGATATAGATAAATAGTGAAATAAGGTCTGAAATAAACATGCATTCTTCACGGAAGAAAACGGGTATAGGAATTTTTAAGTTTTCATCATTCCACTGATATTATCTGTTATCTGTTTCATCACTCTTAACTATACCACTACTCGTAAGCCTTACCAGTAGGTGCATACCTATATCTGACTGCTACTATTTCACACGCTCCATAATAAAATAATTGGACAATTTAACAGCAATTTCCCGACTCTAGTGTGACACTGTAAATTACAAGCTGTCACTGGTGACCTGTGTAGTGTTTGTACTTACTGATGTTGATATTCAATACAAACAATACAAACAACGTGAAACAGTAACCCTAATGTCCAAGCTAAACATACAAATTCAATATTGTACCTAATGACCTAATGTACGATGTTGCTTACAATAGGATACTATACTCGCTCTCTTTCTTTCTCTCTCTCTCTCTCTCTCTCTCTCTCTCTCTCTCTCTCTCTCTCTCTCTCTCTCTCTCTCTCTCTCTCGCTCTCTGCTCTCTCTCTCTCCCCACCTCCCTATTTCTTCTCCCTCTACCTCTAACTTCTATCTCTCTCTCTCTCTCTTCTCTTCTCTCCTCTCTCTCTCACACTCACACCATCACATTGTCTCTCTTCGTCTCTTCTCTCACGTTCTCGTCTCTCTCTCTCGTCTCTCTCTCTCACACACACATTGCTCTCTCTCACTCTCTCTCTCACACACACCATTGTCTCTTCTTCTTTCTCTCACACACATTGTCTCTCTCACTCTCTACCACAGCACATGTGTCTTTTCTCTCTCGCACACATTGTCTCCCTCACACATAAAGACACACACATTATATATCTCTTTCTCTCATGTGTTCAGCTCTATCGTGCCGCTGCCGGAGGACTCGACGCTGCGCAGGCAGTTCCAGGCGCTGCAGGGAGGTGGAAGCAGGCAGAAGCAGTCTCCCCCGAAGGACACCTCAGCAACGCATACAAACCAACCATAACAGGCAGCCACCAACCGCCAATCGACGCATAAAGGCGAGCACCGCGACCGCGACAAACAGCGCGCAGACAGGTACGTGTGTGTAGTGGAGGCGCACGCAGGGGCAGACCCTAGTGCGCAGGCAAGTGGTGTCGTCGGTGGCTGGTGGCTGTAAGTCAGTAGTTAAATCACGTCGGTTCCGTCCGAACGGTCATATGACTGTGTGTGTATCCCAACGGTAACTGTTCGTAGTGGTGGAGGCGTACACGCAGGCCCTAGTAGGCAGGCAAGTGGTGTCGTTGTTGTCGGCTGGTGGCTGTAAGTCAGTAGTTAATGTCGACATTTCAGTATCGACATGAGTAAGGGTATATGTACGTGCACATTTGCACATGTACATATGTGTTTTGTTCATTGTACGTGTATAAACGTACAGCGTATTGCGTATACGTCTTGCTGCAATAATGTATGTTATGCTTCTGTTACATATGTGGTTTGTTCATGGATACGTGTATAAAGATACACGTTGCAAATACGTTTTTGAAATCACATGTATGTTTGTACAGGCCACTCATGCGTGTCCGCTACATGCTACCTAATGTACGTATGACAGCCCGTGTAACATATGTGTTTGGTCAGTGTACGTAATATATTGTAATGTACATGCGTAGTCTGTACACTATATAATACATACATACCACGTGTACTACATTGTAACGCTGTCTTCGGGCGGTGCCGGACTCCGCCTCTTGAAGATAGATGTAGATACATACACGTGTGTGCGGGTGTACCGTGTCTTGGGGGCGGTGGGCAGCCTCCGCTCTGTACAGATGTACATACATACACGTGTACACACATGTACGTGTCTTGGGGCGTGTGGTGCCAGCCTCCGTACTGTACATATGTACATACATAACGTGTACACAACTGCTACCGTGTCTATGGGGCGAGTGGGCAGATACGCTCTGTACATAATGTACATACATACACGTTACACACTGGTACCGCTGTCTTGGGGGGGCCGTGGGCAGCACGATCGATCGCATACTGAGCTTGTGCTTCGTTCACGCAGGCGAGACATGCAGAGGAAGCGTAGGCGAGTCGTCCAGGAGCGGCCAAGCGTCGAACAGCGCAGACCCGAGGCTGCTAGCAAGCGCGACAGCCATAAAAGCTCTACAGCACAGCCGACCTGCATTAGGTGAGATGCTGCTGCCGCCATAGTGTGCAGCATAGTGAGGCTGCCTAATGCTGGCAGCATAATGAGGCTGCCATAAGTTATAGGCTTATTAATATATATCTAGGGGTTTATAGTAGAGAGAGCATATTAAAGCATATAGTTGGGGGACAGGCATAGTGAGTGTTTTTGCTGTCGTGTTGTTTGCGTGTTTTGACCGCCTGACGTCTTGTGTTTTTTCGTGTGCAGTCGTGACCGAACCGCCGCACTCAGCAGGCACAGCATATCGGGTACGGCGGCGGCGGCAAGCCCGGGGCCTGAGCGTCGCCGTTGCCGCATCAGAATGGCGACGCGACCGCCGCAGGAGGAAGCCTGAGGTGAGTGCTCTAGCCTGCCTCCTACGATTTCCTAGCTATTTTTTAGCCCTCAGCTGACGAAGTCAGTATGCGCAGCTTGTAGAATCGCCCATGATTGCTCGCGTCCTGTCTGTCGTCGTTCCCGTCCGCTACGCGTACCGTTCGTCAACAGTTGCGGCACAACCAATGAACTTCCACTGATGCGAATCTGCCCCTTTCTGATCTCTTCAGCCACTCGAGTGGTAACGCTGTACTGCAGTAGCAGCTTCATCGTACACACATGTGCTCTCTTTCTCTGCGGCCGGTACTCTCTCTAGCCGTTCCGTCGTCACACGCCTGCAACGAAACTAAGCAACGTGTTTCTTTCTCTGTCTTTCTCTCACCAGGCGCCTTGTAGGACTGGAGGTGCTGGACAACAGGCGCAGCTGAACCCAGCTTGCGGCAGCAGCCGCGTGGGCGGCTGGTACGTCTGCGACCGGGCAGCGGCAAAAAAGAACAGAAACAAAAAAAATGCGCGCGAAGCGCTTGTGAAAACGTCGATGAGCAGACGGCGTCCATAACTCTCGGCGATGAGGCGAAAAGAGAT